TAACTAGATTTAGAATAGGCTTTTGGGCAGCAGCAGGGCAAAGACACCACAGGAATAAAATAAGTGAGGTTATCAGCTTTCCAAGGATGATCAGTATCTGTGCTCCAAAAGAAGAGCTGGTTTGTTCGTGGAGAAACAAACCAAGTGAATCGTACTTCATCTTCCTTTAATTAATTGTTGGATGAACATAAGTTTCCAACAGCAAATAATTTCAAAATGCTCACAGATGGAAAGACACAAACTCTACTCATTTTTCTCCATTCTATTTCCCCTAAATTCTTTCTTTAAACCCTTGTGCTTTTCCTTTGACATTTTCTCTTTTACTTGAATTAATATAAGTTTTTTCTAATTACTGCATTAGGTATATGGATTTAAGCTTACACCTCTTCCTTAATTGCTGTTATTTTCCCAATGTAATTATTGTCAAAAAATCACATTCAGGGCTACCATTATTATTAATATGTGACTACTTTTCACAATTGATCCAAGCAGTAGCTTCCTATTATCTTTTCTATTATGTACTACTTTCCTTTTTTTGAGGAACTTAAATAGCTTATTCCAATTTTCATTCTGTTACTTGTTTTTTAGTTTATGGTTAAGTTACCCGATACTCTCTAATAGTTTGATAAACTCCTTTGAATTGTCATCAATAACCAGAAAGTGAGTGTATTGTTTTGATGTTTATTTCCTAAGAATCATCCTTTGCCTTTGCTCTTCTGGTCTGTAGTAGTTTCTTTTGTCTAGCACAGCTCACTCAATTAGGGACAATATAAACTTGCCTCAGAAGAGTGTTCTAATGAGCAATTTTCTAAATCAAGTTTGCCTATAAAAATGTCTGTATTGAAAGTTCGGTCTATCTGAGGCTGCCTCATTCCCTACACATGGGTCCCTAGAAAGAAATGGAGGCAAAGTCTAGCTGGGAGTATCCAAACAATCAAGGATGCTAACTCTGTGTCTGCTCTAAACAGAAGTTTCATTGATGAGGACTGAAGACTACACTTACATGTGGGTATAGGTACAGATTATTGTTGGGAGATGTATTGAATTAGTAAATTAGTGATCATAATTTCTCTTCTCTTCTAACAAATGGGACTTCTAACACTGAGTACATTTTTTATTTCCTTTTTTATTTAGAAACAATCACTTTACATATCAATCCCCCCCATTCTTTCTCCCTCAAATAGTCCCATGCACCCTACCGATTCCCCAACCCACCCCTCTCCTTCTCCCAAGGATGGTGAGGCCTTCCATGGGGGAATCATCAAAAATATGTCTCAACATTTGGGGGAGGGCCTAGTCCCTCCTCCATGTATCTGGGCTCAAATAGTATCCCTCTATAGGGAATGGGATCCCAAAGTCCACTTGTACAGTAGGAATAAATACTGGTTTTACTGTTAGAGATCCCAAGATTGACCAAGCCTCCTAGCAGGCACCCTCATTCAGAGGGTTTGGTTCTGTCCGATGTTGGTTCCCCAGCTTTACTACTGGGAAACCTGTGTTCTCACTAGGTCAGATCAGCTGGCTCTGTAGGTTTCTCCAGATCTTGACTGCTTTGCTCATCCCTTCTCCCTCTCTACAACTATATTCCAGGAGTATGGCTCAGTGCTTAGCTGTGAGTGCCTGATTCTGCTTCCATCAGCTACTCGATGAAGGCTGGTTAGAGAGCCTGGTTTGGTCCTATGTTGGTTCCCCAGCTGTCAGACTCGGGTCTGTGAGTTCCCACTTTCTCAGGACAGCTATTTCTGCAGGTTTTCTCAGCGTGGTCTTGACCCCTTTGTTGGTCACTCCTCCCTCTATAAAACAGCATTCCAGGAGTTGGGCACAGTGCTTAGCTGTGCATCTCTGCTTCTACTTCCATCAGCTACTGGATGAAGGCTCCATGATGGCATTTAGGGTAGTCATCATTCTCATTATAGGGGAAGGTCATTTAAGGTAGCCTCTGCACTATTACTTAGGGTCCAAATTGGGGTCATCCTTTTGGATCTCTGTATAATTCCCTACTGCCTGATTTCTCTTTAGACCTTTATTGAATCCCTCTATTGATACATCTTTTTTCTCGTTCTCCTCTATTCCACTCCCCACTCAATCTTCCTGATCACTTATGTTCTCCTCCCTGCTCCTTTTTCTCCTAATTCCCTCTCCTTCCCAATTTGTTCAAGGGCTCTTGTCATTTCCACTTCACTGGGGGAATCCATGTATGTCTCTCTTACAGTCCTCCTTGTTTATTGGTTCTCTGGAGGTATGGATTGTAGGATGGTAATCCTTTACTCTATGTCTAATATCTATATGTGAATGAGTACATCTCATGTTTGTCTTTATGTAACTGGGTTACCTCACTTTCTTCTATTTCCCTCCATTTACCTGCAAATTTCAAGATTCCATTTTTTTCTGCTGAGTAGTACTCCATTGTGTAAATGTACCACATTTTGTGTATCCATTCTTTGGTAGAGGGGCATCTAGGTTGTTTCCAGGTTCTGGCTATTACAAATAATGCTGCTATGAACATAGTTGAACAGATGTCCTTTTGTATGAATGTACATCCTTTGGGTATATGCTGGATCTTGAGGTAGACTTGTTTCCATTTTCCTGAGAAACTGACATACTGATTTCCTAAGTGACTGTACAAGTTTGCACTCCCACCAGCAATCGAGAAGTGTTCCCCTTTCTCCACATCCTCTCCAACATAAATTGTCATTGGTGTTTTTGATTTTAGCCATTCTAATAGATGTAAGATGGTATCTCAGAGTTGTTTTGATTTTCATTTCCCTGTTGACTAAGGATGTTAAGCAATTACTTAAGTGTCTTTCAGCCATTTTAGATTCCTCTATTGAGAATTCCCTATTTAGTTCTGCACTCCACTTTTTAATTGAATTATTTGGTGTCTAACTTCTTGAGTTCTTTGTAGATTTTGGAGATCAGCCTTCTGTCTGATATGGGATTGGTGAATATCATTTCCCATTTTGTCTTGTGGACTGCCATTTTGTCTTGTTGACTGTGTCCTTTGCCTTACAGAAGCTTCTCAGTTTCAGGAGGTCCTATTTATTAGTTGTTGATATCAGTGTCTGTGCTATTGGTGTTCAGGAAATGGTCTCCTTTACCAATTAGTTCAAGGGTACCTCCAATTTTCTCTTCTAGGACTTTCAGTGTGGCTAGATTTATATTGAGGTCTTTGATCCATTTGGACTTAAGTTTTGTGCATGGCAATAGACATGGATCTATCTGCAGTCATCTACATGTCAGCATCAAGTTATTCCAGCACCATTTGTTGAACGTGCTTTCTTTGTTTCATTGTATAGTTTTAGCTTTGTTGTCAAAAACCAACTGTTAGTAGTTGTCTGAGTTAATATCATGGTCTTCAATTTGATTCCATTGGTCTACCAGTCTTTTTTGTGCCAATACCAAGCTGTTTTCATTACTATAGCTCTATAGTACAGCTTGAAGTTAGGGATGGTGATGCCTCCTAAAGTTCCTTAATTATACAGGGTTTTTGGCTATCCTGGGTCTTTTGTTTTTTCCATATAAAGTTAAGAATTGTCCTTTCAAGGTCTTTGAAGAGCTGTGTTGGAACTCCATGTCATTCTTCTAAAATCAGTAACAAGACAAGATTGTCCACTCTCTGTATTTCTTCAATATTGTACTTGAAGTTCTTGCTAAGACAACAAAAGGAGATTGAGTGCATACAAATCAGAAAGAAATCAAACTGTCATTACTTGCAGATGATATGATACTTTGCATAAATGGCCCAAATAATTCTACCAGGGAACTCCTACAGCAGATAAATACCTTTAACAAAGTGGCAGGATACAAGATTAACTCAACAAAATCAGTAGCCCTACTATATATAGACAATGAAGGGTCTGAGAAAGAAATCAGAGCAACATCACCCTTTACAATAGCCACAAACAACATAAAACATATTGGGGTAACTCTAGCCAAATAGGTGAAGCACATATGACAAGAACTTAGAGTCATTAAAAAAAGAAATTAAAGAAGATACCAGAAAATGGAAAGATCTCCCATGCTCTTGTATAGGAAGGATCGACATAGTAAAAATGGCAATCTTACCAAAAGCAATATACAGATTCAATGCAATCCCTATCAAAATCCTAACACAATTCTTCACAGACCCTGAGTACATTTTTGTAGGTATTTATTATTTTTACTTTATATGTATGCTTGATGGTTTGCCTGGGTGTATGTCTGTGTACTTTGTGTGTGCAATAAATTGACCGGTTGAAATGTGTCAGATTATCCTGAACTGTAGGTACAGAAGGCTCTTGGTTGCCACATGGGTACTGGGAACCAACCTGATCCCCCTGCAAAAGTCACAAGCTTTCTTAGCCACTAATCTGTCTCTCCAGAACTCTGGTGCTATCAATGACTTATTTGAAGGTATCTTTGAAGCTATGGTCACAAATTTTATAATCTAGCTTTCCACTCTACTCATAGTTGCACCTCTGCTTTATAATGAGCAAATTTTTCTGTCATTTATTTCTATGCTAGTAACTTTCAAAATATGCTTCTTCATATTCTTAGACATTCAAAAGTTCTTGCTTAATCTATTATAAAAAATAAAGACAAAAACATGATTAAAAACTAGGAGACTAAGAAAATACCTTTGTTTTGGTTTGTTTTCTTAAGACATGGGACAGGATTTCTTTCTTTTTGTAGCCCTAGCTGACTTAACACTCAATCTGTAGACCAGGTTAGCCTCAAACTCAGAGATCCACCTTACTCTGCCTTCCAAGTGCTGGGTTTAAAGTTTTATTCCACCAGCCCTGGCATACATGAAAACTTTAAAATGGCCTTGAAGAATGTGTCTTTACCTGGTAAAAGCCATTTTCTGATACCTTATTAGTAAGTAAGTAAGTAAGTAAGTAAGTAAGTAATTTAAGTAAGAAAACTCGATGTTGCTGAAGTGCTGTAAATTTCTTTTGTGTTTTGCTCTAATGAGGATGAAATCAAAGACTTGCATATGACTTTTACAGTGTTATTTGCAGGCAATGGCTCAGAAGGAAGATATGGAAGAAAGGATCACAACCCTGGAGAAACGTTACCTCAGTGCTCAGAGAGAATCTACCTCCATTCATGACATGAATGATAAACTAGAAAATGAATTGGCAAACAAGGAAGCCATCTTGCGGCAGGTTCAGTATCGCTGTTGTGATTTTGCTTTCCTCTGTGTATATGTCCCCATCATTTTCACAAAGAATAGAGTATTTTTTATCATATGAGTAATTATGCTTTAAAACATAGAATAGTATTAAGGAATCCATTTTTATTTTCTAGTTTACTTTTTAAAAAAACTAGAAACCACTCACATGAAGATTATAATAAAGCAACTATTGACTTTAGATCTAGATATGAAGCAGACCTTAAAGAGTTTCTTTGAAATTAGTTCACTTCACTCTGTCCTCACCTACTAGCTAGATGGAGTTATTCTTTTGAGTATTCTGAGGATCAAAGACAGGACTAATTGCCAAGGCCACATACATATTAAGTGTCTGGACTAGAAGGTCTACCCACTCTATAGCAAAAGAGAGAGGGCTGCAGCCTATCAGACACTGTGGTTGTTTCCCTGCCTCTGAAAATTAAGTTTTAATGAAATATATGCACCTAGTGATTTAATCATTGTTTGTGGTTGTCTCATATTTTATCAACATATTAAAGAAATTGAACCAGAGATTATATACACACAGTCTTAAAATACTATCTGTCCTATACAAGAAAAGTTGTTTGTCTAATGTCTAGATTGGACTCCTTGTATTACTCTAGTCTAAAACTAACAGAGGTCTTTGAGTACAAGCCTCAATGCCCCCTTAGGTTTCTGAGACTTCAGCAAGTAGGGGGATGTAGAAAATCTAAGGGGAAATGAATTCTTCACACATGCTTTTCCAAATAAGTTTCTTTATTGTTATGTTTCTATTCCAATTCTCCTACATCTAATTCCTCCTAGCTGCTTCTTTAGCTACTTTAATTCTCCAAACTCTCTTTCTCCCAGGATCCGTGAAGTGATAAAGAAAATGTAAATGTTGTCTCTCTTTGGTTAAAAGCACATTTCTATGGCAAGCTATAGGGAGTTGAGCCATTGTCATGGCAACACAAGGGTCCAAGGTTACAGAAGTGAAACTGTGAGCAGAGGGTGAGAGTACAGTGAGATACACTTTGAGGATAGGTCTCTTGTTAGCCGACTGGCAAGCAAAGAACTGGCATTCTTTCCTTAGTAACCTTGGTTGGATATCATTGGCTCTGACCTTGAGCATAGCTGCAAAGTTCCAAACTTATGATCTATTTACAAAAGCCTTTAATCTGTATTGAACTTTCTTTGAGGTAAGAGAGCTAACTGTGTGCAGTTAGCCTGAGCAAATGAACAAGGCAGGCTTTTAATGTCTACAATCCTCATGGGATAAATAGATCCAGTTATGAAGCATGTCCCAGTATATATTGTATATATCAAAATTATACAAGTAAATGAAAAGTTATCTTCCTGACTCCCAAAGATATATGTGCCCAGTAGAAGGAATATTCTCATGAGATAAACACACAAGCAGTGGCAATATACCCAAAGCTATTCTTAGGGAAGAAATGAAGTTGTTAGGGAAGAAACGAAGTGACTCATGAGAGAAATTACAGATAGGAGCAACTGGTTTCCATAGCCAGCAACTCCATGGCCTTTCCAGGTAGGGATCCCTATCAGAGAATTACTTATCTGGTAGGTCAGACTGCTGAACCCTAGGGATCAGCTGCTGTATCTCTCATGGCCTCTGACATAAAAGTATGGTTTTAAATATGTTTTCTGTTGTCATGGTATCCTAGGACCAATCGAAATCACATTCATTTCACCTGAAAAGTCCTGGTTTTGTTACTAAATCTTATGTTACTCTTTTATGTCTGTTGAAAGCTATACACACATTCAAGTTCATTTTCATTAGGAATATCTTTACTGTTTCCTGACTATGATAAAATAGTTGCTATCTTATAGTGTTGAATCTCAGTAATTAAAATTGACAAATAACACATGAAATCATAAAAACAGTCATCACCTAGCACAGTTAAATATGGTAATAGCTTATTTTAATTCTTGAAAACTAGTTGAAGTACAAAGTCCATATGACTCATTCTAGCTAATCTACCTTTTGACTGTTTAAATGGCACCCTCATCATTCCTATTTCAGATGGAAGAAAAGAACAGACAATTACAAGAGCGTCTTGAACTGGCTGAGCAAAAGTTACAACAGACCATGAGAAAGGCTGAAACTCTGCCTGAAGTAGAGGCTGAACTGGCTCAGAGAATTGCAGCTTTAACAAAGGTACTGCACTAAACACATATGGTCAGCCTACATGTATTTCCAGAAATAACTGTCTATCAAAGTGGAGTCTAAAATTACCCATTTCAGGCTATGTAAAACATACATTAAGATCTTTCTTGTCTTTGTTCATTAACATTTTGTTTCCTTGTAGCATATATCCTACTTAGAGTGACTTGAATGAGTATTACAAGAGTATGATGATTTCTTTATCTATTTAAACATTATCAAGAAAAGCAATATTTCATGTCATATCTATAGTAAATTTTCTATGGTAGTTTCTGCACATAATAACCATGTTATTTAAAAATCTCAAAATATGTAAATGAACTACTACAATTTAATCAGCTTTGTATAAATGGTTTTTCTATTGAAACAATAAAATATAATAACTGTTGATTCAAATTATATTGCAATATGGTGACCATTGTTAGAAGAAGGGAGTCTAAAAGCTACAATTGAAAGCCATTAAGTTATATGGAAAAAATGAGATTAGTTATAATTTATTCTACTGTTTTTCCATAGTGTGTACTCTACATTCTGTGTTCTATATTATATATCATGAAGCCATTCTAATAGAGCCATTTGAATTCTTAAGGAGCAATAGATATCACATCCATTTCACCTGAAAAGCACTAGTTTTGTCACTAAAACATGGTTTACTTTTATGTCAGTTGAAAGCTACACACACATTCTGAACATTCATACAACCATAGCAGTTTTTTAAGTGTTGAAGGCTACACAGTGAGTAGGTACTATAAATATGTGAACTTGAACATTCTGGTATTTGAGTTTATTCAAAACAATTGGTGCAGTGGTGGAGAAAGGGACACAAATTAACCATCTTTGTGAGAAAGGCAAAGAATAAGACAAACTGACATTTTCTTATATGTTAAAGTGAAATATTTATATCACAAAGCAATAATTGGACAGAAATGAGCAGGGCTATAAAGCATCACATTATAGAGTGAATTTTGAAGTTTTAGGGTATGACCTGATGAAACACTAGTCTTTTACAGAAAGGCTATTAAATTTAAATCTCTATTACCATAGACCACACCAGTAAATCGCTCTGGTACTTTGGAAACTATAGAGACTCAAAATGTAGCATATACATTATGTAACTTCAAAGTGTTTCCTAAGTTATATAAAGCTATAAAAGCATATCAATAGTATTATACTTTTTCTTGCAAAGGCTTATTTGGATTACTACAATATATATTAAAACATTCACATAGTTGTTCTGTTTTAATCTAAATGATATTAGTAGTTTACATAAAGAGTTACCATATTAAATTTTGCTATTGTGGGGTTGAATAAAGAATAACTGGTAAGACTTCGAATAGAATAATCATCATTATTTATTTTACTGAACAAAGTACCAAAATTTAAAATTTTTCCTAAAGAAATACACCTTACAATTCATTAAATCATTACCACATAACTAGCCATTGATGCACTTATAACTACATATAACTTAAATTATAAACAATTGACTCATATAGCTTTAAATTAAATTTAGAACTAAGTAGTTCTAAATTATTATTTTATGATATAAAAACCCAAAAACTTGACTCCATTAATACCACCATCTGGTAACTATTCAGCACTTTTATTAGGATATAGTACATGATACAGACAGGAATTAATTACCATGGTGAATAATCTTCCTCTTTATCTGAACTCTGATATTTTTTAATATTTCAGAAAACATTTAACATTCTTTAAAATTCTTCTAATAGTGTATAATTTCTTCTTTGATCCCCATCACTTCTATCAGCTTCTAGAATGACAAAATATTTCAGGTGTCTATGACAGTTTTTATATTATTGACATAGCTGTTTTAGTTTGTGATATTCTTAGCTCATATCATGTTTATCACATTTGACTATAACTCAGTTCCTCTGAGCACTCTGACGTAAGCCATCTTGCATACATCCATGGATTTACTCAAAACCCTCAGAGATGATCTAAACAATTTGTTTAATTCAATTTAAATTTGCTGTCAATATATGGTCATTATTGATTATCAGTGATCTTTTTCTACCTTTTATCAAACTTTCTATTATTCTAAATTACAGTCTGCCTAGCTTAACTCTCGGATTTTTTCTCCTGTGTTTTGAAATGATATTTCAACAAATAGTCAAGCACCTAATTTGAAATATATGTATATATACATATATATACATGTATGTGTCTTTTGTTTTTACCTATTCCATGTTTTACTTTTTAGGATTTTCCTGTACTACCCTCTAAAAGTTTAACTCATTTGAAATTTCCCTATATCATATTAAAGAGTAAAACCAAGAAGAACCCTTCAAGGACAAATAAAAGCAGACTGACCCTGGGCAGCACTGGGCTTGTGTCAGCCACTAAAAATGTGCTGTCCCTAAGTTTAAAGGCAATAGTGTTGGCTAAAAACTGCTCCCTGTATTGCTTAGACATGATGGCTAAATTTATCCTTTGGATTACTATAAGACTTTTTTTTAATCATCTAGCTAGAGAGATATGCAAAGTAGGTAAAACTCATTTAAAGCTTTTAGAAAGAATTCTCAATTAATGGCCATAAATAAAAACTAAATTTGATGTTTATATATAATTAACCATCAAAGATCATTCTGGACTCTCAATGTTATGATTTGCTGTATCTACTTCTTTAATTAAAATCCATATTTACTCAAGTAGGATATAACTCATCTTGAATTTTATGAGGAGTTTTTATTCATTTTAGTACTAATAAAATTACAGTAATAACATAATTTAGAAATGACAGTATTTGTTTTTTTGTATTGGAAGTGAATTTTCACAATATTTTTGCATGGTCTTCAGTGAAGGAAGAAGCATGATAAGATTTAAAGACTTAGAAAGTTATATTTTTAAAGAGATACTTCTAGAAGTTCCAATATCCCTATCACTCTCTTGAATCAATCACTTATACAATTTTAATGACTTAAATGATTATAAAATACACGGGTTCATTTACAAATTTAGGTTACACAATTTCAACATCTTCTTATCTGTATTTTTTTTCTTAGTAGGACTTGCAAGTTTTAAATGGTATAAAAACAGAGGGATGGAGAGGTTGCTAATGGAAGACCTGAGCTCAGTTCCCAGTGCACACACTGGGTGGCTCTAACTATCACCTGTAATTCCAGTTCTGTTGATCTGACACCATCTCCCTGCCTCCTTAGGCACTGCAATTGCATACACTAACCCACACAGAGAAGCACACATAAGAAATATAAGTAATTAAATTTAAAAATAATTAATTATAATATAAATAATACAAAACTCATTTGCCTCCATTTGAGGACCATGGTAGCTTTTCTTGTTTCTTCTATTTGGAAACCTGTGTAAGACACCTGGGAGGAAATTGTGATAATCTAGGTTTATGAAATAAATACTAAGATATATAAATGATGATTTATTTACACAAATGCAACAGATTTGAAATGTTAAATGTTACACCTTAATGTAAGTTAGAAATTGTTGTGTAAAGTAGCACAAATGAATATTAGCTGGTTACTATTTCTTTTCAGTTACTGCATATGTGTTTACATGTACTCCTATATAAGGTTCACTATTTCCAAATGAGCTGATATTTTGTCAAAGAATATGTTCTAGAGCTAAAATTGCATTACTGACATAAGATTGTTTTGGTGATGTAATTATTTAATGTGTAATTATAATTAAAATGTTGATGTAATGTTATAAGTATTTTGCACATAACATACTAATACAATTCAGCTATCAGCAATGTCCCATGTATTAACACTTTACACCTGTGGTGTCCTAACAGCAAGACATGTAACAAAACTCAGCACTAGGCAATAATTAGATCACAGAGGCTCTGTGCTTCCTATTCAGTCTAAGGCAATATTCTGTTTCCATTGCAACAAATTAATACAGACACTGTTTTGATGTGGTCCTTCATATTATTTTTCAGCATTCACAAAGTTTTTTGTCCTTGTGACATTATTATCACCTGTTGAGAAACCTTGATCATTTTCATTTAACTATTTAAATTACACTTTAGGATTGTTTCCTGTACACAATGTAGGTTGTGTCCTGGAGTCATTGCTTATGTGGACCACTGTTGCTGAGGAAACTCAATCCTGTTGAAGTTTATTCATAATAACTTATCCTGGGGCTTAGAGTTATTTCTGATTTCCACATATGAGGCCATAATACTGATCCAAATATGACATCCCTGAGTCATAGCCAAGAGAGCTCTCCTTGAGATATAATGTTTACACCATTTTTTTTGTCTAGTAATGTGAAAAACCCAAAGACAAAATGTTTAAGCATCTATCAGAGACATTCTAGTGTTTGGTTTCTCATAATCTCAGTTATTACATGTCATTTCCAGAGTTGCTTTCACTCACCTTGTAAAAGTTGTTCATTGCCAGCTGTCACTAACCCTCCATACCCTCAGGTCCATGGCCTTTTGTTTTTAGCATATCATTGTCTTCCATTTACAACCATCAACTGCATTACCTTCACTAGATATCAGAATAGTTCCTTCTACATAAAATTTTGTCTATTAAAGTATTGAATTTGCTGTCACTTTTATTTTAAGCATTCTGTACTATGTTCTGTTTGGTGTCAGTGTCTTTAGTTCTGATTTTTTCAATTTTGTCCCTCTCCTTTTCCTTGACCTGTTAGTCTGATCCAACCTCTTCTACCTCATCTGATGATTATCAATATGTTATGGAAGCTAAACTACAAGAAATGATCTCCATACGTAGGAAGGTAGTCCTACTGGACTTTACTTTCTATCGCTAAATAGAATCCATCTAAGTTTTTTCTTTTCATTTATAAAAATTATGTTACTTTTATTTATTGATAATCGACCATCTGTGCAGTTCAGTGCTTCAAGGAGCTTAAGATTGGACAATGGCAGGTTTGTGTTCAAACCATGCACAGTCTGCATGTTACATTTGGCTGATTTCATTGCTCATAAATAACTCCAGTGTTTTGCTGATGCTTGAATGTTAACAGGCCTTTGTAGCTGACACATTTCAAGCAATGCTGTTCAGCTGCCTGTTTAAACAAAGTTTATTTTTGGAAACTATGTTTGCGGTTGGTAGTAGCTTGCTTTACATTTTATTTCAGTTTGTTTAGATGGAAGGAATTAACTCATCTTACATTTTAGGACCACTCTTCGTATTTCTTAATAGGCTGAAGAGAGGCATGGAAATATTGAAGAACGTATGAGACATCTAGAGGGTCAACTGGAAGAGAAGAATCAGGAACTTCAAAGAGTATGTAGAAGCTTTCCCCTCTGTCCTTGGTCCTACAGTCCACAGATTGCACATTGGAGGAAAACATTCTTAATTAGAAGCCATGTTTAAAATCATATGTTATGTTCTGTGCATTTGAGAGAAAATAGTTTCTACAAATTTAATAAAAACTGTGCATAAAATTATATTCAGTTCAAAACTGATGAAACTAAAATTAACTTTGAACAGCAGTGAGCATTTTCTTTTTTCATGCCAAATATATTTTGCTTTTTTCTTAAACATAAGGCTAGGCAAAGAGAGAAAATGAATGAGGAACATAATAAAAGATTATCTGATACTGTGGACAGGCTTCTGACGGAATCCAATGAGCGCCTACAGCTGCACTTGAAGGAAAGAATGGCCGCTTTGGAAGAGAAGGTACAATTGCAGACAGTGGGAGAAGCACATGGGTGCTTAGCCATATTGTCTAGGTTGCGATGTTTTCCTAGCCTGCTGTAATTGGTATTTGTGTCAGGCATTTGACTGACTTTCCTTAGCCTAAAACTACTTGGCATCATCTTCGTGAGGCAATAATTTCAATAAAATGCTATAACATCATGTTTTGAATGAATATGACACATGATACATATTACATATTAGTATGTTGTAAAAATCAAATATATAAAAATATGCTGTGATTTGAGATAAGAATGTTTCCTTTACCTTTTCATTATTTGTAAGTATATACTGGGAAGACAAATACAAATATTCAGTGTGAGTCTGCTTGAGACTATTTGGTATTTAATCTACTAACTACCAGCACTAACAGTCAACTTACGAGAAGCTATGTCACCAAGAGGACTATTTCTATTGCCAGTAGAGGGGTTAGGAGTCTCTATTTTCAACTACATTGTCTCAAGAAATGTGCTTGTGTTCAGCCTGAAACTTGATTCAAAACCATGATCGCCACATTAATAACTGGAAACTATCACACCAATCAGAATTGTTAGAGCTGGTGGCCAAACCTAGACCTAAACCAGAGAATTAATTATCAAAACATCAGGAGGACAAATTATTTTGAAATAAACACAGAATTTCACTCACTATTTTATTCAGGCATCTTCCATTGATAGACAGTCAGGAAAAAATTGGGAAAATATTTTAACAAAATGTTAGTGAATTTTGGTTAATGACACAGTAAGAGGTCAAAGCATACTTATACTAGTTGGCCTGGTACTTACCACTTATCATTTAAAGAACAGGCTAATTATTTCCCATTTTAAACATAGTCTGAGAAGAATTTTAGTAGTAGCTCAGAGGGTAATATTTATCCTGTTTATGTATCCAAGTGTAGCGAAAATGGCATTTCTCATTTAAATAATTTATTTTGAAAAATGTTGAGTATCACTTTAAAGGGTTTCAATGGAGCTCAGTTTCCATAGAAACCAGGAAATAGATTTACCAAGGAAGGAAGCATAAGAGGTTTTTTTTTTTTGTGCTAGAGCATTCATACACATATTTAAGTATTTTCAGCATGTTGCTTCTTACTTTTTTCTTTTTCATAGAATGTTTTGATTCAAGAATCAGAAACCTTCAGAAAAAATCTTGAAGAATCTTTACATGATAAGGTATTGTGGAAACAGTTTTCATTTAACTTATTCATGTTTATAAGTATATTGTAAAATAAATGTGATGAGAATGATTTTGTGTCATACTCTAAAAATAATTTTAAATTTGTATGCTTATAGCAAACCATAAATTTATGTAGAAATTGAACAGCTTTTAGCATTGAACACATTGAAAATACTCAGGAAACTCAACTAATGCTACCTTAAAATCACTATTAATCACTATCTCTACTAATAAACCTGATCTTGTTTTGGTTTGGACCTTACATAAATAAAATAAATATATATTCATACATTCACTAAATTTTGTATAGTTTTAGAAATAATTTCTTCAAAAGAAATGTAAGTGCCTATTATACAGAAGAACTGAATCTTTAAATACTTTCTAGCATTATCCTACTTCTTAGGTAATTGAATATGTAGTTGAAGAAACATACCATACAAACAATGATTCAGAATGGCAGAAACCAAGGGCCAATATGGTGAGATTTGCAGGAGCCACAGGTGGTAAAGATCACAGTATAATGATGATATAAAGAAGGCTTCCAGGAACTCAGAATGTTGCTAAAGAATGAGGCAATGACAGACTGCTGCAGACCCTGTAAGCACAAGACACACAGCCGGGATATATGTGCTTGCTAGTTTTGAAGGTTATTCATAAGTGTGATATTTTAATATCGGCAAGGGGTTTGGTGAGGACCAGCCATTCCAATTGTAGGATATGTAACTTAAGAAGCTGACAAAATATAGATTGTAAAATCTTAAAAGTTGTGATACAATCCTAGTAATATGTAGTCTGTTACATAATTTGCCCTGTTTCCTTAAAACTTCCCTTAAAATGTCAGCTTAATATATATCTACTAGTTGTGTATTGGAAACATACAAAAGGGAATAGTGAAAGAGAATGGTGAAAGGGTATGAAGAAAAGAAAGGAGAGTAAAAGAGAAACAGAAAGGAGTTAAGAAAAAAGAATTAAAGGTTTATCAGCAGTACAATAATACATAAGGTACTGAAAACATGACAGGAAAGAGAAACTTAACAGTTTTATAGGATGCTATATATTTTGTGATAAATTAAAAATAATAACCATTCAGGTCCATAGTCAGAATGTCTATAATCTTCTGATAAGTAGTTTAATGGACTACTATGGCAGGGGTAGCTAAAGGATGCAATTAAATTATTTCTGAATAAAGCTTGCACAGAAGAGACGTTATTTTAATAGACTCTTGTATACATTTAGTGCGCAACTAGTGGTCTAGGGGGATATTGTCTCCTATGGAACAGCACAGAGGAACCAAAAATGAGTGACTAGATGAATCATCAAAATTTTGCTGGAAGTACCATGTGTGTGTATGAATTACTTCTGACCAGATTGTGGATTTTGGACTTGATCTTGTTATGCAATTTTAAGTTATTTAAAGTTCTGTGGGCTCCTGGCAAGATCATTACAACCTACTCCCCCAACACCTACTCAAGCCTGTAGCTGCAACAATCTGCCCAAGCAACCAACATTCTAAGTCATCTTATGTCGTATGTCCTTGCTAATGTCAATCTCCAGAAAATGTATTTCTAGAACAAACTTCAAATTGGGGCTATCATTCCATACAGCTAAGCACACTCACTGATCTTAGTATGGGTACAAATTGTTCAAAGGTCCACTCAAGTAACTAGGATCACAACCCACCATCAACAATATCTCCATATATCAAGTCTTCCCCATTTTTATTTTGTCTTGGTGGATTTTATCTTTAAAATCTAAAGTACTTACACTCTTCCTGAAGCTCTTCTTTTTTTCAGGTTCTGGCAGATTTATTTGCTGTCGTGGATTTTAGCACCACTATGAATTATGATTATGCACTTCCTAATTCAGGTTACCTACGGGGTACTTTTCAAGGAAGAACTTTTATATTTCAGTGCCAAATCATGTTACCATTTAGACACACACACAAAACAAAATCTGATTTCACATGTCAATTTCCCCAGTATTACTTTATCTGCCCCTTACTCTCACATACCAATGACCACTGCCACCTAACCTGGCCAGCATTACCAGCAATTTTCTGAATAAATCACCTTTAGCATCCTTTCCCCCTATTATTCAAGTTACAAAAATAAACTTGAAGCTATTGATAACTCTTGTCTTCATATAATTTTCTTCTGTCAAACCTAATATGTAAATTCTGTTAGTTCTATCATCAAAACATAAGAAATATCTATCCATTTAGTTGCAATAAACACTTATATCCACACCATGACTCTGTTGTCTATAATTTCAGAGAGCATAAGATAATGATATTTCTTCCCTGCTTCCAAATTTCATGCAATTCTTTTTTTTTTATTAGTTCAAGTTAGGGAACAAGCTTGTTTCACATGTATGTCCCCTCTCCCTCTCCCTACCCTCACTTCCATCCCTCCTCCCCCACTCCAAACCCCACCCCCACCCCATCCACCCACCACTCCCCAGGCAGGGTAGGGCCCTCAAAAGGGG